TCTCCTCATTATCCTCACCCAATACCTTTTGTTTGATGTTTTGTGCTTGTTTGTGTGACTCAGTGGCTGAGGTTTAATCTCTTAGCATACATTGGGTAAGCCCAAGCTCATGGTAGCTGTCAGCAGTCTTCTCATTATCCTCACCCAATACCTTTTGTTGGATGTTTAGTGCTCGCTTATGTGATTCAGTGGCCGAGGTTTAATCGCTTAGAATATATTGGGTAGCCCCAGGTTAAAGTAGCTATCAGCGGTGTTTTAATGATCTTCACTCAATACCTTTTGTCTAATGTTAAGTGCTGGCTTGTGTGACTCAGTGACTGAGGTGTAATCTTTAAGCATATATTGGGTAACCCCCAGGTTAGTGTAGCTTGGAGCGGTGCTCTCTTGATCTTTACCAAATACATTTTGTCTGATGTTCAGTGCTCACTTGTGTGACCAAGTGGCTGAGGCGTAATCACTAAAGATATATTGGGTAGCCCCCAGGTTAAAGTAGCTGACAGCGGGCTTCTCATGATCTTCACCCAATACCTTTTTTTTGATGTTTATTGTTCACTTGTGTGACTCAGTGGCTGAGGTGTAATCTCTAAGGATATGTTGGGTAATCCCCAGATTAAAGTAGCTGTCAGCGATGTTCTCATTATCTTCACCCAATACTTTTTGTCCGATGTTTAGTGCTCGCTTGAGTGACTCAGTGGCTGAGGTGTAATATCAAAGCATATGATGGGTAACCCCCAGGTAAAAGTAGCTGTCAGCGGTCTTCTCATGATCTTCATCAAATACCTTTCCTCTGATGTTTAGTGCTCGCTTGTTTGATTCAGTGGCTGAGGTGTAATCTTTTAGCATATATTGGGTAAGCCCCAGCTTATGTAGCTGTCAAAGGTCTTCGCATGACCTTCACCCAATCTCTTTTGTCTGATCATGTTTAGTGCTCGCTTGTGTGACTCAGTGGCTGAGGTGTAATCAGTAAGTAAATATTAGATAATCCCCATGTCACGGTAGCAGTCAGCGGTCTTCTTATGATCTTCACCCAATGCCTTTTCTTTGATGCTTAGCGCTCAGTTTTGAGACTCAGTAGCTGAGGTGTAATCTCTAAGCATATACTGGGTAACCCCAAGGTTAGGGTAGCTTGAAGCGGTGCTCTCATGATCTTTACCAAATACCTTTTGCCTGATGATTAGTGTTCGCTTGAGTGACTCAGTGGCTGAGGTGTAATCACTAAGCACATATTGGGTAGCCCCTAGGTTATAGTAGCTGACACCAATCTTCTTATGATCTTTACCCAATACCTTTGTCCGATGTTTAGTGCTCGCTTGTTTGACTCAGTGGCTGAGGCGTAATCTTTAATCATATACTGGGTAAGCCCTAGCTTATGGTAGCTGTCAGCTTTTGTGGCTTAGTGGCTGAGGTGTAATCACGAAGCACATCTTGGGTAAGCCCCAGCTCATGGTAGCTGTCAGCAGTATTCTCATGATCTTCACCCAAGGCGTAGTCTTTAAGCATATTTTGGGTAGCCCCCAGGTTAAAGTAGCTGACAGCGGTCTCCTTCTTCTGCAAGCATAGATTGGGTAACCCCCAGCACATGGTAGCTGTTAGCGGTCCTCTCATGATCTTCACCCAGTACCTTTTGTCTGATGTTTAGAGCTCGCTTGTGTGACTCAGTGGCT